TAATGCGCAAAAAAATAACAATATGGCAGAATGTTTATTAATTAATTATTAATATTAAAAAAATATGGATTTCGATTTTATTTATAAAAATAAATGATTTTAGATATAACTTTTTTTTAAAAATTTTTAACATTTTATTTTTGTTAAAGATGCCATTTTATATCGAATCTGATGGGCAAATTAGAAGTCACTGTTTGTCTAGGACTACCACTAATGACAATATAAAGATGTTTATGATTGACTTATTTTTTTAATTATATGACAGATTTAAGTGACAACAAGTACTTCCAGTTCCAGGTGATATACGTAATATAGATGAACCCTAATTAATTTAACATATTTGACGATTTATTTTTATTTATTTACTTAGAATTAACACCTATATATAAAAAAATTTCAAAAATCTAAAAATAAAACGTGAAAGGATAATAGATACCCCGTATGTTTTTCATAAACTTAAATTTTCATTTTTTTAAATTTCGCACTAATTAAAAAGAAAATGATTTTTTTCTTAAATATTAATTTTTACCTTATAAATATATGTAAAGAAAAAAATTACGTTAAAACATTTTAGAAAAATTGCTTTGTCCATTTTTTATAGCACTTCAATTTTTTATGGACAAATTTTCCCCGAGTATGACCAAGAATATTAACATTGGGGTTACGAGTACAAATATATTTATTTTCAAAATTTGATTATAATAAAAAATATATACAATAATAAAAAAATGAATACTTTCAATCTAAAGATATTAAGATTATATTTTACCCATATATCGATATTTTGTTATGATAAATTATTCCTGACCCCCCAAGACCTAGACCCGCCCTCTATCAGTGATTATTATTATTACAATAAAAAAATATTTAATTATCAACTTGTTTATTAAATCGTTACACGACACGACCCCGGGTCTGAACCCCGAGTCTGGACCACGGGTCTGGACCTAGGGTCGGCCTGAGCACATAAAAGGATCGTAAATTTTACAAGCAAATTAAGAACACTAGACTCAAGTTCAGAGAACTATTCGTCCTCTAGTAGACAAATATATATTATGTATTCACAACTCAAGTTGAAGGTCTAAATTAAAAAGTAAATAACAACAAATATCTTAATTAATAATATCTAATTTGAAATATTCGTTCTCTAATCGACTCAAGTTCATAAAATATTCGTCCTCTAGTCGACGACTCAAGTTGGAAGTCGAAAGTATTAAAATACAAAAACTATCAAAATTAATAATAGATCTGAAATACTCGTCCTCTAGTCGACGACTCAAGTTCATAAAATATTCGTCCTCTAGTCGACGACTCAAGTTCATAGAAATATTCGTCCTCTAGTCGACTCAACTATATAATTATATTCACGAGTCAAAGTTGGAAGTCGTAAGTAGTAAAATACCAGGGATGTGCGAACCCGGGTTCATATTTAGAATTGTTTGGTTGTGCATTTTGATACTGCAGATCAAACGAAACCGATTTAAGGACAACTCATTGAACCAGGGTAAAACTCCGGGACGGGTTCGGATTTCTCTTAGAAAATTGGTTTCGAGTAAATTCTTGTTAATTTCCGCTAAATAAAGGTTATAATTCCTGAACCCTGGTTTGGGTTCACATCTCTGTAAAATACAATAACTATCTTAATTAATAATAATAGATCTGAAATATTCGTCCTCTAGTCGACGACTCATGTTCATAAAATATTCGTCCTCTAGTTGACGACTCAAGTTTATAAAATATTCGTCCTCTAGTCGACTCAAATATATAATTATATTCACGAGTCACGACTCAAGTTGGAAGTCGAAAGTAGTAAAATACAAAAACTATCAAAATTAATATTAGATCTGAAATATTCGTCCTCTAGTCAACGACTCAAGTTTATAAAATATTCGTCCTCTAGTCGACGACTCAAGTTCATAAAATATTCGTCCTCTAGTCGACGACTCAAGTTCATAGAAATATTCGTTCTCTATTCGACTAGAGGACGAATATTTTATGAACTTGAGTTAATGACTTGAGTTGATTGACTTGAGTCGACTTGAGTTCATGACCTGAGTTTATAACTCAAGTCAGTTTGGGTCGATTTTTTTGACCCAAAACTTGACTCAGTTTTTTTAACAACACTACCTCTACCACATTTTTAAAAATCTTTTACCATTTTCCTGAGTTTTATATATTCTAATAAAAATTTTATATATTAAAGAGACTTAATTTTCCAAAGCATAATACTCCAGAATTATATATGACAATCACTAGTTTATTGAACTTCTCTTCATCAATAGTTTTAAAATTAAACTATTGGCCATCAAGAAATTATTGATATGTTCCATTTAAAACATATCTTCCAATCTCTAAATCTTCGTTACAAAACACAAAATCTATGAATACTAGTCCACACTTTTTACACTGGTTTTAGCAAACGTCAACCTAAAATGGATATTTTTTTTGATTATATATAAATGCAGGAGCTTAGCCTAGAATTTTCTACAGGGTGGAGGAGGGAGTAGATAATTATTTTTTGAAAAAATCATTTACAACGATTTCTTGATTTTCAGACGAATACAAATACTGTTTTTTTTCTTATAAATTAAATTATATAATGCATGATTCACATTTATTTATTTAAACTTAAAATTTTTCCCGAGTTGCCGAAAAAAAAATTCAACATTTTAAATCCTATTTTATAAAATAAGTAATTAAACGAATTAAAGTATTTTAAAGATGTGAAAGATAAGGTAATTAAAGAAAAGAAGTTTTTATATTATAGTATTATGTTTAATAAAATATTTTTGCATAGATTTTATATGTCATAGTCAACCATAATTTATAAAAATGAGCAAATAACTTAAATGCATAAAATAATTACTATCTTTTCTCTCTACAAATTACCTTGAAACGTCCATAAATGTCAATTACAAACTGACCGATAAAACTCCTGTGCGTGAACTTATTAGTTTAAATTAAAAAAGAATTATTATGGCCGACCTTACTTTATGAATGCGAATAGAAAATATAGATAACCAAATATCTGGTTAATCGAGTTATAAATAAAATAAAAACTATGACATCATGCTTCCAAGCTTCTGAAAACACTATTTTTGAAGGTCTAGCTTCTAAATATCTGAATTGCATTATAATATTTAATTTTTATTTATTTATTCATTTTTTAACCCTTCCGCCAAAGATAAGCCAATTATTAAGCCAATAAAAATTATGATATCAGTCAAAATTAGTGCTGTTAACATTTCTAAAAAAATCGAACGCGTTCGCGTTCAACGTTCATTGACAAAAATCGACAGCGTTCAAGTTCATGTTCAAAAAAAGGAACGCTTTCACGTTAACGAACGAGTTCTTAATAAAACCGTTCAAAATTTTATGATAATTTTTAAATTTAATTTAATATAAATAAACTTATATTTTTTAATACAATATATTTTAGCCATGTTAAAAAATAATTACTTTGATAATATAATAATAAATAAAATAAAATATAATATAATATAATATAGCGAATAAAAAGATATTTTTATTTATAAAAAATTTTTCTTATTAAATTTTAATAAAAATTGTTTTCAAAATATTTATCTGATAGACAAGAACACTTGGCAGTTAATACGGCATTAGCCTAAAAACGCGTTCTACAGGGGCAGATGAGGCGATTGAGGTATTATACTTAATAAACAGCTCTTTTAACGTGGAGAATTAATTAAAAACATATTGTTTTGTTATTTGCAAAAAATTGAGATAAGTTATCCTCCTCCAATCCATTCTCTACTCTCGACAAAAAAAAGGATATCTCGAAATTAACAGTTCTGTAGGGTTTTCATGGCATTTTTTTCAGTAACGCTAAAGTTTATTTTTAATAGGTTCGTTCTGTGGAAGTTTTATCCATGGCCATTGAAGTTTGGATTCTGGATGTATAATTGCAGAAAGAACATATTGATACTTATATATAGGTTCAATACTTTAAAAAAATAAAATATATGTAATTAATTGAGAGTGATAGGTTTAATACCTTTTATTAATCCCATTTAACACGGCGTCTATCAATGGTTGACCATATTCGAGGCCACTAATTTTTTTAATTTTAAAATAACCATCGTTATTGTTGGGGTCAAATATCCTAAATGCATTATTTCTTCAAATTTAATGATTTAACTTAGTTATATCATATAAAATCAAATAATTAATATTAAAATCAAATGTCGTTTTAAATTGGAACCTGAAGATTTTGACAATATAATACTTTTTGGCTACATTTTACACTTGGTAAGCATTGTATTAGTTGCTTCAATATAGGATGTTAATGTAAAACAATTATTATATTTGGCCATAGTGAATAAATTTTAAATAGAAGCCAGTTATAAATGAAATAGAAACTTTAACATAATCTTAGGCTGACATATAGAATGTCTGAGATTCAAATCAATTACATTAATACGATAAGGTTCTTTTCCCACGATTCAAAATATTATTGATTTTATGATTACGATCTTTATAGATTTTAAAATAGAATTGTTCAAATCTCATTATAATTTGAACCGAGTAATATTTTCAAAATTTTGGTTTTGAATTTTTTAAATCTCATATTAGAATAGCCTTTGAACAATAAGTTTGTCAAAAACTTCTGAAAAAATTTTTTTTTTAGATTATACACAAAAATTCTACATCATTGTCGTAATAAATCAGATGTAAAATTTTCAGAGTGTTTTTCTTAATAAAAAGATTTTAAATCGGTATTAATCATAATATACTGATAACAATAGGATAACAATCATCAATTTATATAAAATTATTATTTATTATTTAATTTAAATTTTTTTTTCCTTAATGATATAACATAATAAAATTTAACTATTTAACTTGACCTCCCTGATGCAGGCAGCAGAGTATATTAGTTAAGTGAAAAGTCTAAATTTTCCAAAGGCCAATAAAATTATCTAATGAAAATTTATTTTAGAGACCTGATATTGCTAATAAATTTTAATATATTTATTCAGTATTTATTTGTGATATGATAAAGTGACAAGAATTTAAATCATTTTTTTAAAATAAATTTCAAATCCCCTTAAAAAAATATATATAAAGTTTATGTTATTTATTTTGTTAAGTTTTTAAAGATGATAATTTAAATTTTGAAAAATTGTAGATTTTTTTTTTCTTTTTCACCAAGGAAATAATTTTCTAATAATTAAACCAATGTAATATAATAACATTTTGATCGTTGGCTGTACGCTAAAATTATTAATAATATAGAATAATAATTAAAATGTTAGAAGTTAAATATTTCATTACCCATCCTTTTATAGTAATGTTAGTTCCTTTGTTGTTAAGTCTATAGATTTTTTTAGTAGTACCTCCACCAATATCAGTGGTATTAAAAAGAACGATCAAAGGATCTATAAAAGCTTTAAAAAATATATAAAAAAATACTATTTATATTTGTGAAGTATCTTTGAATATTATATGAAATCCATAAAGTATTTTAGAAGATTAGTTTATATAAAAAATCGTTTATTTAAATAAATTATTTAATTTTACACAATATCTCTATTTAAATTTTACATTCTCTTTTAAACTAAAAAAATCTGCTTTATATAACAAAATATATAAAAATTTATATAAAAAAAATCAATCTATCAATTTATAAAAAAATCAATTTATAACAACATAAAAAAAAACAATTTAAAGGTTAGTATTAATCGGTCATATTAACATTCCACCCTTTAAAAAAATGATCTCCACTCAAGTTTTTCTTGCACGTGAATCTTATCGTCACTTCAGTCATGTTATCATTTGTTGAATCGATTATCGACATCATGAAACATCGTTGGTTGAAACGTCGTTAGTTGAATATTGCTTTTTGATTTGCTGTTTGTATTGATCATTCCATTTCTCTTTCAAAATTTTATTTATATATATTTTTAGTCTTTATTTCATTATAAAATTATCGAATTTTTTGGGCAACATTATATTCCTGCTAGGTCTTTGACTAACAAGACACTGTTCTTGCATTTCTACATTTTGATCATCATTTCTTCTAAAATTTACAGTGTTCATCCAGAGGTGCGCTACTCGTAGACCTTTTTTAATTTGGTCTAAATGTCTTCTAATAATTTTGTCTCCTGTTTCAACTTCAAATGTTAAATTTCCATTTTTACGTTTTATCATGCCTTTGTCCCACATATTACCTTTGAAGGTTTTATACCATATTTTGTCACCATTCATGATGTTTCTATTTGACGATAAATTGCTATTAAATTCGTTCACTTTATCTTCTTGCGGTTCATTCATAAGAATAAGAATCATAATAGAATATTTGGAATTGTTTCATTTTATATAATAATAATTTTTTTATTTATTATTTAATTATTTTTATTTTTAAATTTTACTCCTTTATTTTTCAATTTAAACACTTTTTTAATATCATAATTTCTCTTTAACTTGTTCTTTATAACAAAATTTCTCTTTCTCCTTCCATTTTCAACATATGATCTCCATATCGTACTCCTAATCTCTCTTTCATCGCGACATTTAATCACCCTTGTTTTAATTTTCTTTTCCAAAGTTTTTTTAAATTTTTTATTAATTATAAAAAATTTTATTTTATTATATTCTTCAATTTTTATTTCATTATTGTTTTTAATAACTATTATTTCTCCAATTGTTATCAAATGATTTATTTCTTCTAATTTATAAAAATTAATTTCTTTTGTAACATTTGTTATTAAGTTACATAATTCAATTTTATTCAAATTTTTTTTATTATGATATTTATAATTATAATTTTCATACTTTTTATTGTAATATGTACCTTCATAATTTTTACTATCTACTTTTCTATTTTCCTCGATTATATTTACAAAATTACATTGCTCGATTAATTCTTGTATGGTATTATCATAATCATCCTCGACAATATTCACAAATTTATCTAGTATATTCCCAAAAACTGTTATCCAAGTCCTTCCTAACAGTGCAATCTTATCACTCTGGACTACATAAGCAGTTAAGATTTGACTTTTGTCCTCGAATTTTGCCTTGACTTTGGTAGTTCCTAAAACATTTATTGTGTTTCCATCATAACCAGTTAATTTAATATCTGATTTATTTAAGATTTTTACTCCAATCTTTTTCGCGATATGAATCGGTAGAATAGTATACTTTGACCCGGTGTCGATCTGCATCAAAATAGGCACGTCGTTCAAATATACCGTGACCTTATAAGCATCGTTAGCTGTGTAATTATTATCGGTATCCATATTGTTTATGTCTAAATTGTATAAATTATATTCTTTTCTTTCTAGTTTGTCATTATCATCTTCTTTTATCTCTTCTATATTTACAGTGTTTACTTTATTTGTATATCGTGATTGATTATTGTTGTTGTTATGATATTTATAATTGCATACTTGATTAGTTCCTCGATTTCCAATATTATGATTATCGTTATATCTTTGAATACATCTTGAATCGTTATAATGTCTGTTATATCTGTAATTATAATCATTATTAAATCTATTATTATTATAGTCATTTTTATTATAACTAGCTCTATTATCAAATCTCGAAGAATTATTGTACGATCCTGGATAGTTTGCTCTGACGTTGTAATAATTCGCGTTATAATTATGATATCTAGGGTTGTAATTATTTCCTTGGTAACTGGGGTTATAATTATTTCCTTGATAAATATTTCTTTGAAAGCCATGGCCTCTTGCTGTCCATCGTTGTCTGTTATCGTAATTAGATTGTAAATTTTGTCGTTCATCATGGTCTCCATATCTCACCAATTGTTTATTTTCTTCTGTTTTTCTGCCTCTTTGCCTTTCTACATGTTTCACGGTTGTATCATCTTCTGTTTTTTCGTTTAAAGAAATATTTTCAACTTTAGCAATTATATTTTCTTTCAATTCTAACTCTTCAAAATCATCTCTTAAAGTAAGAACTTCTTCTAATGTAATGTTTTCTTTTAACGTAATTTTCTGCCTAATATTTTTGCTGATTGACGAAATTTTTACTTTTTCAATAACTCTACTATCACTTAGCAAACATTCATTTTTTAAAATGCATAATCTACTTACCCAATCGATGTAACTTTCGTTTTTACCTTGTACAGCTGCATTAAATAATAATAAGTTGGAACTTGTAGATTTCCTCGGGTGTAATAACCTGAATTTTTCAATCAATATCGATGGATTGATGAAGTCGGTAGGTGAACATATCGATTTAAGCTTGATATATACCTCATCTGGTAATCTTCTTGTAAAGGAACCCGCTTTTTCGATGTCCGATATCTGAGTGTCCTTGAAGATGTCTTCAAATCTACTCAAAAAAAGATCGCCATTGCCTGCGTATATTGGAAATTCAATATTTATATTAACATTATTATTGGGAATCTGTTTCATATTTATTAATTTATTTACGATTTCCTCGAATATGTAGCGGAGCTGCCACCATGAAGTATCTTTGAATATTATATGAAATCCATAAAGTATTTTAGAAGATTAGTTTATATAAAAAATCGTTTATTTAAATAAATTATTTAATTTTACACAATATCTCTATTTAAATTTTACATTTTCTTTTAAACTAAAAAAATCTGCTTTATATAACAAAATATATAAAAATTTATATAAAAATTTATATAAAAAAAATCAATCTATCAATTTATAAAAATCAATTTATAACAACATAAAAAAAAAACAATTTAAAGGTTAGTATTAATCGGTCATATTAACAATTTGTTATTTGAAATTTATATTCTGAACATCACTTTTGATATGTAAAACTAGAATTCATTTGTGATTTTATTCAAAATTAACGAAATGAGTTTTAAATTATACAAGATAATTTTTTTAAAATAGAAATTCTTTTAAATATGGAAATTATTGGGAGTAAAACAGCTAGTATGTAGAAGCGATACATATTTAAACGCGAAAATTCTCGTACACTACAAAAGTTACTTTTGACGTGTTAAAATTTCAATTAAAACTACTCTTCATTTTAATATGTAATTTTCCTATTCAAAGCAATATTGAACAAGTTAGACTAAAAAAAGTTATATTTTCTTTAAAAATAGATATTTATGTCTTTATAATATTGGATATTCCACTACCTTAATGAACGTCTTAAAAATTAAAACATTTAAGTAATTCCTGGTGTTTATGATAAAGCGTTTAAAAAGGTTACTATATCCATCACATCTCTCATAAAAAAGGTTAAGTGTTCCATTGCAATTTTCGAAGGTAATATAATCATTATTCATGGATCCAGCTTTATGTTCTGAATGTAATTTTTTTTTAAAAATTAAAAATTAATCTTTTTGTATTGAATTTTATTTTGATTGTAATTAAGCTACCCATATTTGGTAGGGAACAATTTAAAATAAATTTAACTTGGAATTAGTAAAGATCAATTTAAAATTGAAAATTTAATATAATATTACCATAAAGTAACAAAATATAAGATATTCCGTATTATATCCTTAAGAACTTATGCTTGATTGTTATATATGTTGTTTTTATATTAATAATTGCATTAGCAATATATTTGTTATTTAGCAATAATGTTTGATGAATTCGAGCAAACATATTTAAATAGTATTGGGTGTCTTATATTTTCTAAGTAATATTCACGATAAAAATTTGCCATAATGCATTCGCTCTAAAGAATTGTTATAATATGATAAGCCTATTAAGAAATTTTTTGTACTTTATAACAATTTAAATTTTTTAATATTTTAAATTATAAAAAATTATTCCTCCTTTTCGGTCTCTTTTGAAAGATGGTACATGTCCTAAAATATCTTACAAGGAACGGTTTGCCCTATTATACCAGGAAAGGATGCTTTCCTTACTGTGTTCAGTTAAATACGGGCAATTAACTATTTAGTCTGTATAAATCTTAGCATCTACACAGTTCAATCGTATGATATATAAAAAAGAATCATATTTTATAAAAAATTCAATATATATTTTACCAGAAATGAAGAATAAATCATTGTTTTCTATCTCTCTTTTTTCAAGGGTACCATTGAAGAACGTTTTGATTTCGCAACCTTTGAAAATTTAGTTCATATATATCAAATACAAATCATTTAGAACTACAGAGCCATTATTTTAATTTGATAACTATCAAATAGTTTAGAAAAACTGATTTAATTTTAAAAAAAATTTCTATGATAATTAAATATATGTTCAAAAAGAGGAAATAGGTATTCATTTGTTATAAAAAATAATGATTAAGAAATCATATAAATTATACATAGTATCTCGATGTGTTTGGAGAGATTAGACTAAGGTTTGATGGGTCACTTGTGTTAGAGAAAATAGACTGGTATTAACCTAGTAATAATTTAGCAGAAAACAAGCAATATAAATTACATTTATTGCTATATTCAGCCAAAACAGTATATATTCTTTTAAAATTTTTATTTTAATATAATCAATAAAAGGCAACATCTTCATCATCAGTAACTGTAAATTTTATTTTATACTTTCAATTTTTACCCTTATTAGCATTTCAGATGATTTATGACATGTTTATATCTGGCTTTAAAATACACGTGTGTTTAAACACTAAATTCGTAAACTATTAAAACATAAACAATTATTAAATTTGTTTATATCTCATATTGTCAGTTTTTTCCTATTTCAACCTTCTTTTATTCATTCATTTTTTCTTATTTCCTCCCTTAAAATTTACTCCCATGTTCACGCGGTGGTGAATGATAAGCAATTTTGACAAACTGGAGCGCTGACGTTAATTAAGGAGAATCATTTTTTTACTTAATCCTTATGACGATGGATAAATCTTAAATTTTTTCTTTATTTTTCTGATTTGGGTTGATATATAAATCATCAAATAAATTCGGATTCAACCATCGTCAAATTAAGGATAAAATTATGATTCACCTGAATCAAATAAAGTGTCTGGGTTCAATATGACCTTAAAATCAGCGCATATCTTGATTTCTCAATTAGTTTGGCACATTTACTGTTGGGGTAGCTCACTCATTCTCGATTTTGCTGGGATAATCTTAAAAATTCCCCTATTTTATTAATCTATTATGTCATTTCAATTGGTTTTCGTCAGGAAAAAGGTACTCTAGATATTGAATTCGATTACTTTGCGGCATCACTACGATATATGTCAACTTCATAATCAAGAAATAGTCTTGGCTTATCTTCAATAAACACTGACAAATTCTGTAGTCAGGGCAGAAATTTGTTAACCATTCGTTATGATATCATTACTTGTTTACATATTCTAACTTGTCGTGGGATAAAAAAATTATATGCCAGTATTTGTGGTAGTCCAAACAGTGGTATGTCAACTGAATAATAACAAATGGTAATGATCTGCTTATATTTTCAATTGCACCTTTTATGATATATAAGGAACTAGGCATAAGTTCTTCCTCATCGTGATAAGTAATTTTTCCTATAAGTATCGTATACTTACAATTGTTATTATTATTATTATTGTAATAAATAAAATTTCCCTTTTCTTTCATAATATATTGGTATTTTTTTTTACTAAAAAGATTTCCTTGATGATTTTTCTTGAATTAAGTAAATTCTTTCTCAACTATCATGGGCCAGGCTGGGCCTAATTTTTAAAAATGTAGCTTACTTAAAAGAGTTTCTAATTTTAAAAAAATATAAATAAATATTACAATTTTTTTCTTCTAATGATGATAGATTTCAGTATTGTAAACAAAAGGATTGCATAAAAATACATAAATCTTTTTAATTTAATGAAATCTAATTAATTAAATTTTTGTATATGAACTTGGGAAACATTATTGAAATTTTATTAGCGCTTAGGCCGAGTTTGAGATTTTTTTTTAATATTAAATATGAGCCGTCCCTGGTCTGACCCTAAATTTTTTTAGTGCGGGTCCTATCTGGACATGATTAAAGAATTTGAGCCCATGAAGGTCTCTGGTATAAATTAAGTAATTTTCCTTGATTCAGATGAGATTTGATTCAGAAATTTTCTTTTATTTTGATAAAATATATTACAGAAATTGGAGTCAAAACTGTCTAATTTGGCCTATATTTTTGCCCAACTTCTCCATTTATCTTAAAAATATATTTCAGCATCTGTTATATTATAGTTTAGCAAAAAAGTGAGATTTAAAATCAATTTACATTATTTTTTATTAATTCATCAAAATTATGGAAATTATATAGTTATCTACAAATTTATAAAAAATAAGAAAGTACATATTTATAAAATTATTATTATAAAAGGTTTTGAAAATACAAAATAAGAATGAAAATAAAATTAATTTACAAAATATGATGTTATCGTTGTTTGTTTACATAGCGTTTGATAATATCTTCTTTGGATTTATAAATATTGTGAACAGTTCCTATAGAAATATTAAATCTTTAGGGATGATTTAGAAATTTAATATACTGAATTTATTTTTTAATTAAACGATAGCTCCTTAAATTTATTTTCTTTATTTATTTTGTTATTTAAAATAAGTTTAAAAAGTTGATAAAATTTATTTTATAATATAAATGAATTAATGCAACAAAAAATAACAATTCTCCATCATATTGGTCTTGAGCAAATGAACAAAAAAAGGCATTTTCTATAATAGGTAATAAGAATATAGTAGGGACTCATTGGCCAAAATAAGGAGTTCCACAAATAAGTGCCTAAATCAGACAAGTTTGTCCCTATATATATTAAATACCTTTAATATGAACAATATCAAATAATATTGTCTTTACATGCACATTTAAAAAATTTTTTTGACTACAGTTACGTTTGCATTTGTAACTTAATGATCAAAAAAATCTAGCGGTAAAGGTTAGCAGTTAGATAAAAATATTTAGACTAAATATTTGTGTAAGTTAACTTATTAAGAACTTTTTCAAGCAGCAAGAGAAGTAAGCTTAAAGAAAAATATTATCATTTTTATAATTAAATGAATATGATCAGTTTGTTTAAGATTAGAAAAAAAATATAATTTTATAGTTAAAAGATGATTAGATTTGTAGAATTTATTCGCCAACTTCGAATAGAAATAATATCGAATCATTCTTATAAAATAAAATGATTTCTCATAAATGAATATAGAAAATATTTGTGATCGGCCTATATTTGATGTATAGGTTTGTAGTAATAATACTCTTCTGAATGCTAATAATAGCACCTTTAAGATTTAACGATAATAAATATAATAGAAAGTATAGAATACCCGTTAAATAAGAAAAAAATTCTCAAAAGTTTCATTCTTCTAAAGCCCATGTTACTCTTATAGATTAAGTATCCCATCTTTGACAAGCTTTACTGCTCTAAAATTTATTTTATAAAAGAATAAATGGTCTATCTGTTGACATTGAGATCACCTCGATACAGATGAATATGAAATAAAGTGCAAAAAAAAATAATTGAAGAATAATAAAATTTAAATTAAAGGAGGAAAATAGTGAAGGAAGAAACACATCTTTATTTAATCCGCTAATTCAACAAAAAGGATTACGTTGAAAAAATAATGTTTCAATTTCAACAACTAACTCTTTCCTCTGCTCAAACAAAACACATTATAAAGTTTTAGAAATTATACTGTAGTAATTTATAAATGTAATTTATGAATACCTTGCATAACATTGTAGTTGATTATTATTATTAAGCACCAAATAGAATTGATCATATTCTTAGTGGATTTTGATAACATGTTTCTTGGTATAGATAGATATATAAGAAGTTATAAAATTATTAATAAAAATGCTAGACTCAGTCTTATATAGTAACTTTTTTTTATCCATTTAATTATGTCCTTGATATTATTGATTAATATTTGATATCTCAATTTGTAATCATGTTTTCATTTATAGTTAACTTAGAAATCGAATTAAAAAATTTTCATACTAAATAGTTAAAAAATTTTGAACCAATTTATTCTATCTTTATTTTATTTTATAAAAATTATCTTATTTTTAATTATTTCAGACCGATAAAAATAATTTTAATATCAGCTATTTTTTTATTACAACAAAGATAAAAAAATAATTAAAAAAAAATGTTATTGAAAGATTAAATAAATCAAAATACATAATAATGGAAAAATATCAATTGAAAAAATAATATAATTCAGAAAAAAAGTAACAAGTATCAGATTTGTCAAAATATATTTTTCAAATTAATCTAGACACAGGTACAGATACTACTTGGCCATAAAAAATTAGCTATATTCGATAAACTTCATATAAAAAATTTTAAAATTATTTAAATTTAGTAAAATCCTGTTATTCATTTAATATTAAAAAAAAGCCTGTAGCTTTATTTATATATATTAAGGGGTTGAAAAAAAATATAAAATTGAATCTTAATACACTAATAAAATGTATTCATGGTTATACAATTATACTCTAAGTTAAATTAACACCGTTATTAATGGCAATCTTCGCTTCGATTTAATTTAGACCACAAATTTTTGGTAATAAATTAAAGATAATAATGGTAAAATTATAAAATTTATATAGAGTACGGGTTTATAACTGATCATTATACACCTTCACCTAGTAGAAAATAAACCTTCACCTAGTAGAAAAAGTTTAAATATTTCTCTGATATGAATGTATTCGATAAATACAGAAGTGGTATATACCTATTAGTTTGGTGGTATTGATTTAACAAAATTTTATTTAATAAAGAGGCACTAGGAATTAAGCAAAAATATAAGACTTATACTAATTATCTAAATATGGAATAGTTAATTAACCGGCGGAACCGAAAAGATTTGATCATTAAACTCTATTCCTACTAATAATTTTTTTCATCAACTGCCTACATATTTGATACGTATTAATTAGAAATTTATATAATCTCATCTCATATTTAATTCTCTAATGTAGATAGGAATTCTCCTTAAAAAAGGGGGATTAACACATTTTTTTGCGGTGGGGATCTAATCCACACAAGAGTTCTACTGCCAGATTTAAACATAATTCCAACAATTAATTTATTAAATTTTACATAAGAAGCACACAAAATATTGTAAAAATCATCTAAAAAATATATCCTTTCACATTTTTTTAGAAGATTTTCTATTATTACCCAAATTGTTCATTTTGTTTTTAAGAAAGGTTCTGCACAAGCATAGATTGGAAATCCTTAGATATCGAAAGGTTTCAGAGGTGTCATAATCTCAGGGGGGTTTAATTAAAAAATTTTTTTATGGGGCAACGTCTTTCATACCCATTTTGCAGACCTTCGGCCGGATTTTATGATTTTTAATTGAAATTTGCAAACTCTAAACAATTTGAATTTCATATTTTTTCATTTATTATGCATACAAATAATGAAAGCCCAACAATGCAAGACATTTCTGAAGATACTATTTTTTATTAATCCATTTATTACAAAATAAAATATTTTCGATTACGGATATAAAATATTTTTACGTCTCAAGGATTACAGGTGATAAAAGTTAATTAATTCATACAATTCCTCAATTGATAATGATTTTTTAAAAACCAGACAAGACAATATAATTCTTAGCATTAAGACAGTGTTTTATGAAATGGACAGGAAAAATTTGTAGGCATAACTAAATAAATGAAAAGAATATAAACTACTAACCCTAATCATAAAATGATATGGTGGTTAGAGCTTCTTTTAGATTTCATTATGGAAGCTAGATAAGTAACCGAGAAAATTATGGTGAGATATTGAATTTCTAAAAGATTATCTTATATTTTTAATGATATATGAACGACTAGATAGTTGACTATTATTGCTCCTCTAAATTATGCAATCAAATGCTCTCAGCAGCAATAAGAATCCTAAATTATAATAGCCAGACATATAATAGATGCTGGTTAATTGCAGTCATAGCCTTGACACTCACAATATAAACTCATATCAGAATTTATGTTACATAAATTGACAAAAACACTTAAAATCTTAGTAGAAATAATTATGCAAATATATTGAAGTCTTGAGTTATTTACACGATAAGCCATATTAGAAATGAATCATTTAGTAACTAAAAAATAAAAACCAGAGTTATACGATGAAAGCAATAAAGATTTTATATATTATTGTCGCACCACCTCTAGTTGGTATATTATGTCTTAAAATAATATTAGGATTTCCGTAATAATATCTAAGAGAATAGTACTATTTAAATAATATATTTTTCAAAAATAAATAGGATGGCTTTAAATAATTGAATGCTAATTGTTACTTATATTTATTATCAAAAACATTGATTAGTAAAGTTTATTTAAAGATTAAGTGTAATATATTCTATAACTGTCAAACATGTCTGTAAAAGTGACAGTTTATCTAGTATTTTGTAACCAACTCTATAAAATATGTCTACTTACTTTTTTATAAAGAAATTACTTATACTTGTTTCGAGATATTTTTAGAAAGAGGCATGGTAATTAATTTTAAAAATGGATTAGTGATTTTGAATTAGGGTTATAAAATAATATAAATAACAAAAATCAATTAAGCTTCAACTGTTAATACTAAATTGATATTTAGACATAATGATTGATATTGAATTTTTAACACAGAAATTGGCTGTCCAAGCCTTTCGGTGACCGGGGTGGCATTTCTCAGCTCAGAAATATTATTATATCATATGTCTACATTTGTCATAGAAGAAAACCCCGAATTTTTTTAGTTCCTTACAAGGATTGAACCTGTGACCTTCAGTTTCCAAGCATACATCATACATTACTGGGCCCCCCTGCGATTTTTAATCTTTAAATAATAAAATAAAAGATATATATAATAAACAGGACTATCAAATAAATATATTTTTAGTTTAAAGGGATATTAATTGTTGAGGGGGATAGAGCCCCTGCCCCCCCCCCCATCACCCCCCCCCACCCCCATCACCCCCCCCACCCCCATCACCCCCCCCCCCCATAGTGACATTTACAAAATGAAATAATTTATATAAATATAATTATTTTTATGAATGTTAACACAACCAAAATATTTTACCTATCAGCTAATTTTTTATGAGACTGTTTGATACCAAAATGAGCTGCATTTGATATTGCGTCAATATTAATATCACAACCACTGATGACTGTTTTTATAATTTTCTTTCTACTTATAAAGTCTAAAATTACTTAACCAATTGTATATATTATATATAAAGGCTTTAACCCAGAGATTTCTTTCTCTCCATTGTTATCTGCCAAATGAATGGGGTATTCTAAAAAAAATGAAGTTTTTCTCAAAATCTATAAATATTATATATTAAAAAATATAATTTAATTATTTCAACATCAATCTGCATTTTTAAAAAATGTTTTATAAAAATTTGAGAAAAATTTATAATAATATTTAAATTAAAAAATGTATTTTAAAAAATATATCATTATAGAAAATACACTGTTAAAAACACATTCATATTATTAAATAGATTATAATAAAAGAATTTGTTATGAATATACTTATTAAATAGGCAAGAAAGAGTATATCTATAACTGGAGTATTTTAAAACGTTACACCGGCCCGAGTGGATTTAAAAAAATTAAAGATATTTATAAAATATTAATAAATGCATAATATAATGTTCCATGTTAGCAATTGGATTTAATATTTATTTTATTTGTAATATGTGAAAAATTTTAATTAGGTGAACCGCTTCCCCCCTTCCGATTTATTTCATTATTTAATTATATTTTTTAAATTAATGAACATTAAACAACATTCATGAAATCTTGATGATATCAATGTGTCTAAAAAAGTAGAGATATGAGTAAAGTATGATTTGTAAATATTTATATGTGTAAATACACTTTAAAGATACACAATTCAGTAAATATGCATTTAGCAATTTAATTATGGCTCCTTTTCGCGAATATAATTGTTAAATCTATAATTAATTACAATTTTATTTTACGCCTTTTTTTTAAATATAGTTTCAATACATGTCATTTTATAAATTTTTTTTAATAGAAGATAGATTTATAATAAAATATAAATCAATGGCGAGATAAAAATAATTAAAAAAAAATAACTTCTTTCTTTCTTCATGATTGAATATCCCTTATAACATTAAAATTCTACAATTATATTTAAAAAAAAGATTAAAAGAAAGTAATACATTTAAATTAATTAAATTTATTAGTCACAAAAATTCACACTACACATAATAATACAATGTTTCTTATTTTAATTTTGATGAATTTAGCTCCTAGCTGGCACCACCATTTTCTTGTATATTTTTTAAAATAATTATTTTAGAAAATCAAATAATCAATCCCTCCCCTTGTTTCTTTCTCCCAAAATAAACCTAAGGCTGCATTCAAAGTGGAGACCGATCCGGTTTTTACATCCGTTCCGTCAAAACATCATATTAAAAATGATATATTTTCATTTTTAAAAAATTATAAAAATTACCCAAATCCGTTTTAAGACGAAAGGTATCGGAGCGGACGCACTTTGAACATATATATCATTTTAAATGAGATTGACTTTTTACAGAACGGATGTAAAAAACTGATATGCAGCCTAACTTTTTTAAAATAAATTTTGGGTTATTTTAAAAAAATTATAAAAAAAGTAAAATTTCTTTAAAAATTTTTTTTTTTTATTTATGTAAATAAATTTTTGATAATATTTTTTTATTCATAAAGATTTTTATTGTTATTTTTGAAAATATGTGCAATGACTAGTAGTAGTTCGTGATAAATATTTATAAAGATATTAATTTACAAATTATTTAACTTAAATCTTTCAAAAAATATATGACATGCTAAGAACATAAGGAAGATCGATTTTAGATATTTCTAATGTATGTAATAATCACTTATAATTTTTTTTTATTTAATTTAAGTATAATATTTTTATAAGCTAGCGTAAATAATATGTTTTTTAAATAATACAAAATGTAAATTGTATAAAATTGTATTAAATTAAAAAAATAAACATAAATTTTGTCTAATGAGCTTGCTTTTTTGATCTCCCCCTTTTAATAAGTAGTTTAAATATAGTTCTTATATTTATCTTTTTTAAATTGTTTAGACATTTTTTTTACATGTAATTTTACATAGTTTTATATATTATGCTTCTTTTTAACATAAATTTTTTAAACTAAAAAATTAAAATAAATCATAATTCTTACAAACTTTTAAAAATAATATTGTATACATAAATAAACATTTTAAAAGAACGAATTCCTATTACGCCCATATCACTTTGAAAACACCGGTTCCTTTTATAACACCGAAGTTAAGCAACGTTGAGCCTGGTTAGTACTTGGGATGGGTCACCGCCTGGGAATCTCAGGTGTAGTAATTTTTTTAAATTATTTTTATCTCGCCATTGATTTATATTTTATTATAAATCTATCTTCTATTAAAAAATTTATAATTAATTGGTTTCTCAATATTATCTTTACTATAAAATTCCTTCGCCGATATTCGCGATAAGTTTTGCTGAATTGACCTATTACGATGTGCTGCTGCTTGTATAGATTAGGTTTAATAATCATGCTTATAGGATAAAAAGAAAAAATGTATCAATCATAACTTACGATGTGCTGCTGCTTGTATAGATTAGGTTTAATAATCATGCTTATAGGATAAAAAGAAAAAATGTATCAATCATAACTATTGGGAGATTTACGGATATATTATATTAATTTTATAAAATTAACCTATATTAAATAAATTGCAGAAAAAACAATATTTTTTCCATTTAATATAATACCTTTTGTTATATAAATTATTTAAGAGATAATAATAAAATTTACGCCATCTAGCATATAAAATAATGTTATATTTAAATTAAATACAATAATTAAAAAAGATATAACAAAATAGAAAATTTTCAAAAGCTATTTTTATTTTGCTCCCAGCAAATATGTATTATTTGGCAGTTTTAATTAAATTTTTAAAATAATTTTTTTTAAATGTTCATCTTTAAATAAGATTATAAATTTTGAAATTAAAATTATTTTATAACAGCCTAATATATTTTAAGATTTGCTTACCTGTTTAAGTATTCAAAATTTGAATATGCCCTTACATTTTATGCATTTAACGTAATCAATTTTTTGATTGAGAATCTAATTTTTTAATTAATTTTTGACTTTTATACATTAAATCTTAAAGAAAAAACTGCTAGTTGTTTTATGCAATTTTTAATTTATTACATAAAAAGAAACGATTTTAATACAACTCTTATTATCTTTTATAAAATTAATATAATATATCCGTAAATCTCCCAATTTTTTCTTTTCATCCTATAAGCATGATTATTAAACCTAATCTATACAAGCAGCAGCACATGGTAATAGGTCAATTCAGCAAAACTTATCGCGAATATCGGCGAAGGAAATTTATAGTAAAGATAATATTGAGAAACCAATTCCGAGAATTTTTTTCTGCGAAATATTTATAGCGAAGAAAATATCGCGAATTTATTTCATACTTTAGATACATTTTGACGAAACTTTTATCGCGACCCTTTATAGCAAATTTTTGCGAATGTATTTGCACAAAGTTATTATCGCGAGCGTATTACCGCGAAACAATAAATATATTTGAATGCATTTATTTAAAGGAAAACAACATATTCAATTTTAATTTACCCACAAAAGTTCCTTAAATCATAAAGGCATGTCATAACACCCCACTTCTTCATTTGTAGTGATAGAGTTGATTAAAAAAACATTTGAAAGATGTTTTTATTTGAGATTCTTGTCGTATTATGTTATAATCCCCTCCTCAGATTTAACTTAAAAACATGGAGATTAGTAACAATGTAAATATATCCTTTTATTAGCTTTCATTGGAAATATATGTTAAAAATATTTTACCCATCCCCTCAAACACGCTCAGACTTGAAACAATGTGACTGTAACTATGAATTAAATATATATACTTGTAATTCTAATACTCTGATGTAAATTCATTTTACTATGTTTTAACACTAACCCCCCCCATCCAACAATGAGCTAGATAAAAGAACCTAGAGAGTTAACAGCATTCAAAAATATTATTCGCTTTCATTTGATGTCCTTGTCGCATAATTCTGTAAAAAAAATTTAAATCTTTCCAAACCTTGATACAAGGGCCTGGGTTGAGTGATGGGTAATTTTAATAGTACTCAAAATCATATTATTGGCTTCCATTTATAACCTTATCTAGATATTTTTCTGGAAAAATGTTTACTTATATTTAGAGTAATGATTAATTTTAAAATTCAAAAAATCATACTTATGCATATTAAAATAAAAAAATAGTAAAAATTTCTAAGTGATATATTATGTTTTCTAAGAAATTCAATTCTGAGAAAATTAAAATTTTTACTTAGCAAAATCCACTTTTGTGAAGTCAGTGATAAATACATTAAGTAGTTTTAATTCTGGGGGAAAAAGATAATGTATGTTGAAGTAGCATTATATTTCGGCTTAATTAATTTCAAAGAAAATATTATATAAGGGTTATTTCTACCGCTGGATTGACGTTGAATTAATGTAGATCGTTGCTATGTTGTGGTTGGAAAAATAAATTATACATGATAATTATAAAATTGAGTTTGATTCATAATAATTTTCTTTTATAAAGATCTAATAATATGCCGATATATCTATATTGTATATTTTATTTTTCAAAATTCAATTATCAGTTATAAAATATATTTTATAAAAATATTTTATAACCTACCCCCGATTAGATTTTAAAAACTCCCTACGAGGTCATGGTATAAATATATCACTTGAGTCCGAAATATCAAATAAACCATATTATATAGTCAGATGGAATGCTTACTGAAAAGAAAATATAAATTAGAAGATAACAGCTAAGTAAGAAAAGAAAAAGCTTTTATTTTTAAAATTTCCGAATATTTTCAAATATGTCTAATACTCTAAGAACCTCATTCACAGTGCTTTTTTCAAAAAAACCAATACAGTGCTTTTTTCAAAAAAACCAATTTTATTCACGAGTCATTCCGTTAAAAACAAAATTTATCAAAATTGTTTTTTTTTCTGATGGTGTAGTATTCAATATTTGAATATAATTCATAATTTAAGCCATCATGAATTTGAATATGGAATCAAAGCGCAATTACGAAGACGTAATAGCCCATGGCATACATTATCAAAAGGTTAGCAGAATGAGCTACATTCAGCGTACAAATGGGAATCAAATATCAAACACCTTAGATTCATTTAATTTTTATAATGCAAATATCACTGGAATTATATGCGCATATGTAAAATGATGTATTTAAAAAAATATCTTGTTCAATAGGTCAAAACTACTCCCGGAATAAAATTTTCACACTATAATGCCACGGTAAATTAAAATGAGTTTAAATTTTCATAGTGATAATAATTGTATTTTACTATATAAAAATTAAATTTTGTCTTCAATAAATTACAATCAAGAATTGATATATGTTTTTTAAATACTTTGATGAGGAGAATTCAATTTATCAAATAAATTAATCAAAGCCCCCTTCCCCCCTGCCATTCCTCTTCCAATTCTCAGATCATAAATGTTAAATGGCTTGATTTGAGCCGATTTTTAAAAACTGCTAACTCAAGATTTTAACCAGAAAAATATTGCCAAAGCCTTGAGATTTAGCTAATAGATGTCCAATCCTTTGTGCCATCTCTGAGAAAAAGCTTCAGACTTAAGTTATTTTATTTTTGGCTAAAATATTGAGTTGGCCGCGACATTATAAATAACTATTCTATTATTTTTAATTTTAAGCATAAAATATATGATTGCTTTTGACTTATGTTACAAATATTGATTAATATCAAATATTTATTAAAAATATAAATATTTGCAATAGACTAATAATTAAAATGACATTTCTCCTAAACCTGAGATCGGCCCTACTTAAAAATTTGCCTATTATCTATATACAGGGTTGGGCAAATTTTCAGAAAATTGTTTTCGGATACAAATACTTTATAAAATTTTGTATTTAAGATACAAGATACTAGATACTTTGGAAAAATTTCAATAAGATATAAGATACAAGATACTTGTATCTTTTTTTAAAAAAGTATCTGATACAAGATACTTTTTAAAAAAACTTTAAGTAGACAAAATCAAAATGTATAAAGCTTTATTTTCTTATCTATAATATAAATTTATAAAAAATTTGAAAATAAATTGTAGAAAATAACAAATTTATTTTATAAGATAATGGGATATTTTTTTTAATAATTGTATAATTTGTAAATATTAATACATCAGCATCATAAACCAGCGTTGTTTTTTAATATTATTAATTTTTCATAAAATTTATCGATCAATCTTTGACGATTTGGTCTGTTAACCATATTAGCAAAGCTAAATAATCGTTCAACGGGGGCAGAGGAGGGTAATATTGTCTTATATTTAATAAATATTTCTTTTAATTAATTTTATAAAGAAAATTATATTTTAAGCATATATGTAAAAATTAAAAAAAATATATAAAAAGGTGAATTAAATATTGCTAAGTACTATCTGTCATATAAAAATGGTGACCCAAATATTTGGATTATATTTTGGCCTAGTATTCAAATTAACAACCTCTTTTTTTATCAATATTAGTTTTCTTATTCTTTTCATAGATTTTTTGTATATCATTTTGATTTCATTATCAATCAATAATATAAAAATTTATTTTAAAATACTTCTAAATTTAGCAACAGATATATATGGAATATGAAATGATAATGAATAAGATTATAAATGTGATTTATTATATAATTATATATTATACTTTTAGATGCTTGACAAAATTTGATGACGAGTCCGCAGAACCACTTATAGATTTGTGGCATTCTATAGATTCTGTAGTAATTTTATAATGATCATGTTGAAGTACTTGAAAAAATTTCCTATTTAAAATACTTTTAAATTTATAGTTTTATTTTTCGGTTGGAGAATTATCTGAAGACGAAGATAAACATAATATTCTATTTTCTTTAATAGATGGATATAAAACGATTCAAATAAAATATGGTAGTTATAATTGATAGCAAATTGCTATATGACGAACAACGTCGTATATCATACATTATCTTAAAATATCTGAATTCTGATTAAATTTTTCATTTAAATTTTAAAACAATATCATTTTAAAATTTAATACTATTTAAATTAACTAATATAAATTTTTTTAAAGTATCTGTATCTTTTTGAATACAAAGTTGGTTAAGATACAAATACTTTTAAATAATATGTATCTTAGATACTGGATACCAGATACTTTCCATAATTTAAAAAAAGATACAAGATACTAGTATATAAGATATAAATATCCGCGATACTGCCACACCCTGTCTATATATAAAAAAAAATTAAGAGAAAAAAATACCGATTTGATTTTATGACCATTTTTATTTAACATTAAATTTTTTTAAAAAAATATTTATATTTACATAACTTTAAAGGCTTACCATAAATTTATTAAAGATATTTAAAATTAAAGGGAGAGCATTTTGCCCAAAATTCCCCATTTTTTCGACATTGAGGCCCATATCTCAACCGCTGTTTGGAGTTGGGGACTTAATTTTTTTTTTTAGTTATAATATATACAAACTCTTGTAAAAATTTTAGGAAAATCTGAGGGGGTCCGGTTGAAAATCGTGTTTTTTTTGTTGATTTATCAATGAAATTCAATAAATTGTTTGATTTATGTATTAAAACTATTATATATAATATTTATATAAAAAAATATATTATATAAGCTTTAAAAAATAAATAATTAATTTTAAGAAAACATAATTGAGTTTTTTAATAATGAACAATAGTTAAATTTAAAAATAACAAAATTTGCAATCTATATTCAAATGAAAAATAAATAAAGTACCAATTGGCTAAACTTGACAGTCTTTATCATAAACGTATATATTTATTCTTATTTTTATATATATTATATAATCTCGGTTCATAATTCAAATTTAAATATTTCATTATTGTGCATTTATCATTATATTATTTTCTTAAATTTGCCATATCATTTCATTTTAGTATTTTAAGATAAAATAAGATATTATATTATACCATTTATAACTATATAATATTCAAATAAAATTTATTAGAATGGAAAATTTATTTTTAAAAATTAAGTAAACTAATTAGTCGTGAAAATTTGAATATTTTTTTTTATTCGAAACAAAAAAAATTAAAATGATTTTTTAAAATAATGCAAAATACGGGTTAGGCGCCTAAAGGCATTTTTATTTGAAGATAAGACAGATAATATTCGGCTAGGTCATGTACTGATATAACATAATTATAATCTTTATTGGTTCAGAGAGATAATATATATTTGACTTCAAAAAATAAACTTTATAATTTAAAAGAAGAAACTTTAATAAAAAAATGAATTTTACACCTATATCAGGTTTATTAGGAGTCTATGTAAGTCTGAAGTATTTGATATTTAAATTTGAATAAATTATTTATATTAGGACATTAATATAATATAACTGTACTGGACCCCATATATATTTTTTTCAATTGGTTAAATACATGATTAAAGGTTCTATCTTAACATCTATGACTGGCAATAACTGATTTCTAATCCATTTCTTATTTTGTTGGAAAGCTATTATCTAAATAATCTTCTTAATTAGTCAAATCGATTCAGCGTCTACATGGTAGAAAATTTGATGAAGTCAACCCCCCCCCCTCCCCCTCCCCCAACTACCTTATCTTCCTAAAAAATATTTACAGTCTCGTTCGCTACATTCTTCCATTCGTTATACTAGGGTAAATCGATGATTTTATTAATAAAAACATTATTTAGGATATTACATTCGTTATACTAGGGTAAATCGATGATTTTATTAAAACATTCTTTAGGATATTATTTATAAATTTATTTGAATAAAATCTATTTACAATTTTGCCCTTATTCTATAAATATTGTCATTTTTATTTTACCTTACCCCATAGTCTACTTCTTTGGAGGTCCACTCCTACCACTTTTCAAAAAATTGAAATGGCTTCAGCCTCATCACAGGTTAGGTTGATTAAAATGAATAAATATATTTCTAAAATTTAATTGAAAAATCCAGTCAAGGCTAATTTTTTCTCCTTTAAATGAGTCACGCCGGTTGGTTAGATCCGGCTAAATAATAACAGTATATCTGAGCCATTTCGCAAACATCACACCAAGAACTTAATTTTAAATCTTTGAATTCGTAATAAGATGTATTCAAATATATTTTTAATTTGATATACATATTAATTTAAGAAATATATAGTGGAATTACTCTTAATATGATATTAGTTAATTAACAATACTTGAATTTTAAGTTTAAATGCTATCATCCAACATTTTTTTCCCCCCAATTTTTAATAATATTTATATAGACCGCCTGAACCATTAGGTATAAATTATTAATTATTTTAATATTTTATCATAATATTTTGTATACAACTCGTATTATCTAAATTGTTTAAAAATAATAATTATTCTAGCTTCTCCTATTTATCGTTGTCGAACTCTCCAACACAATAACAACCGATAACTCCCTGATCAACAAATTGCAGCAAAACGATGGGGCTTATGTTTCCCTAAATTCGTTTATTGAGAAAGAAAATAATGAAAAATTGGAAAATTATGGAAATATAAATCATAAGAGATATAAAAGACAGCGAAGTGGAAGAGGCGGTGGCGGAAGAGGCGGAGGTGGAAGAGGGGGAGGCAGAAGAGGTGGCGGCGGTAGAGGTGGGGGTAGGAGGGGAGGGAGAAGAGGTTAAAGGGTAAAATTGGATTCTTATAAAGATTGAAGCATCATTCATCTTCCTACTTTCTCATATTAGCTATACATATATATTAGTATTGAATACATAATTTATAGTACGCAATTAACTTTTTATAATATTGGTCAAACATTAGTATTATAGATTATCGTTAACTTGTATAATGCCCCTTGATAATACATGTAATTATTTAGTATATTTTAATCATTTATAAATTGAGTAGAAAAGCAATATTTAAGAAAATTTAAAGCTATATAAACAATTAATGCGAGTGCAATTTTTTAAAGAGGAAATATAGAAATGGATTCATTTTTTCTAACAATAAAATAATACAAATGGGGGGGAGGCAAACTGGGTATGCTGCGGCCTCGTAAAAAAATTATCCAGCTGACTTATTTATTCCCTCCCATACCATATCCTCATTTGGTTGACATTATCACCTTTGTAAAGGTATATGATTTTTATAATACTATGTTTTTGATAAAACTTGGTTTAAACAATGGGAAAAATTATATTGCTACTTTTATATTTTTATGAAAGTTAAAAATTATAGAATAGGCAAATGAATATATTTTATACCTACCTTGGCTAAAACGGTAATTTTTCCTATTGCGATTTCTCACATATATCTTATTAGTATCCATTCATATTTTCATTTTCAGAAGTAGATAATATTCTAAATAGATCCTCGAGGTGGCAAGTAGCGTTGCCTAAATTTGTCCACAATATTAAACAATAATAAAAAATAAAAAAAAATTGTCAAAAACGGACCATATTGAAATTGAAAATGAATCCTTCAAATAATATTAGTAATATTTTTATAAATTAAATATATATATCATTTTACTGAATTAAAAAAATGAACCACAAAATATCATTCTATACAGCATATTTAAAATTTTCAAGCTTTTAAGGTTCAAAATTCCCATTCTAGGATTTTATAACGAGAAAATCTAATATTTAATTCCTCTGCAAAAAACTTAATCCAGAAAATCTTAAATCTTTAGCGTTTTATTTTTCATAAAATAATTTACATGAAAAATGACAATAGGAATAAATGTAAAGTTAAAGGTGCATGATTAATTTAAATTAAAGATATGTACAGTTCGGGTTGAGTGGGAGAAATATATTGCTAAATCGGATCTCCAAGCATAGGTTTGAATTCTTTTCCTTTAATCAGTACCAAACTTTGAACCACAAATATTATGGCATATGAACCCGAAATCAATATCGGATTTACAAATTTTAGTCATTTATATGATGAAATTACTTAAGAAAGAAAGTAAAAAGTATATTAAGTCACCGTGATTTTTATTAAATTCCTAATGCATTAACAATCACCTTAACTTGATTACAGTTATTCAATTTTTTTTAAAACTTAAATTTAACATTATCTTATTCCTATTCGTTCGAGAGTTTAGTTGAATAATTGTAATATCTACTCATACCTGACCTGGACTTTAGTTCATTCCACCAGGATCTCTGAAACTAATATTTGTAAATTATTCCTGAACCTGGCAAAATTATATTTTTTTAATGCAAATAATTGTAATATTTTATATAAAAATAAGCATTTTATAATTTAATTAAGTTTTTGGTAGATTGGACCTACTAACTCCCCCCCCCCCCAAAAAAAAGTTTCACATACAATACAAAAAACTGAAATAAAAGTATGAACAGAAAATTTCCGGTCATGAAAATTTTTAATATAATAGTAAAATAATTTTAAGTATGTTCTTCAAACTAGGAAAGATAATTTTAAAGTTTAGATTCAAATATAAGTAAAACGAATATATTAAAAAAGTTGAGAGTAATTTATAATATTATTTCCAAATAATAGACTAAAAAATTTTATTCAAAAAATACTTGCTAGAATTTTGTTTGATAAAATCAAAAATGCAAGTGCAAAATAAACACTCTATAAATTTTAATTGTATAAAATGCTATTCAATTTTATTTAATTCAATTTATTAAATAAACCAAAATTAACCAAGGTTTATAATATATATCATTAAATTATATAATATAGATGCCTATTCTTTATTTAATTTTAATTTATTTAAAGAAATAATAATAAGGCTAAATAAATAAAGATAAAATTTAACTGAAAATTTTTTCTATATTTTATAGTATTTTTTTTCCATAAAATTTAAATAAGAGGCACCTGATTACAAAATTATGATAATATAATAAAACTAAGAAATAGTGCTCTAACGTGATCAAAAATTAATATCTTTAATCTAATAATTAACATATTTAGTGGAAATGATTAATTAAAATCTACTCATAAATCAAAAATTATAAAAATGTATAGAACAAATAAAGACTGCCTAATATATACTTTCCCTGGGTTAACCTTTTGCATATTTAACCCTTTCTCATTTGAGAAACTGTTAATCGTTGTTCTATTTTATTATATTTTTATATATAATTATTTTGATAATGAATAGTAAATATGTAATACTATAAATTTTTTTATTTAATGTGCTATCTCTGTCTTTATTTATAAATTTTTAATAAATGTTATAATTTTAAAAACTAGAACCAAGAAAATAAAGAAAAAAATTGTGGCTAAGAATAAAAGATTTATGCTAGTAATTTGTATTGTGTTGTGCAGTTGAGAATACGAATAATCTATATTAAATATTCTGCCTAAAAACGGCCTTTTTATATCTTATAATTCAATAATTAAAAAATAATAGTCTTAAATATAAATTATACAACTCAACCTGAGTCTTACAATACAAAGTCAAATGAGCTCGCCTTTATTATCAGGCTATATTATTGCGTGTAATTAAAATATATACAACTAAATATAAAAAAAACACCAATAATTCATTAGAAAAATATTTTTGAAGATCCGGTTAGATCAAATAATATAAACAAATCTCTCTCAAAATAAGATTATCAAAAAATAACTGGCATATTTTTAAGATCAATTTAAATAAATCCTAGCAATAAGAACGCATTTGATTTTGGCCTCGTAGAAATTTTTTTAATAAAAGTAAAATTATAAGTTAAAAATTTAAAAAGAAAGTAAAATAATATAAGAAAAAGTTAATAAAAAAAAAGTATTAATTTTAACATCATTTTTCTTTTAAAATTATCAAAACTTGAATAATAAATCTTTTATATTAATACTTTTTAAAAAAATACCCAAGCCGGGCTTGAATTATTTTTAAATAACACCCAGGCTGGGCTGTATTTTTTAAAAGAGCCTATATTTGAAATCGTTATTATTAGCTGTATGTTGCGTTATAATCTAATTCTCTATCTCACTTTTTGTTTTTTGCATTTGAACTTTTATAATTATTTGTTATAATCTAATTTTATTTTATAAACGGCGTAACCTTACTTTTTTATATTATTTTACTTTTTTTGTATTTCGTTTGTATTCTAATTTGGACTTATAAAAAATGTATATAAACGAAGTGTGAAATGAAAAAATTAGTTAATAAAATATATTTTTACTGACTCGCACCGCGCGCCATATCGTTAGTATTCTTATTCTTTTCACTGTAAAAATCTTAATTTTAAAAAAATCCTGGCCGTGCCTGAAATTTTTTTTAAAAAAACCCAGACCAATCCGTAAAAAATCTTTAAAAAAATTCGAGTCGTGCCCTGCAAATGGTCTGCAGGCCTTTGTTATTCTTCTTAAAAAAGAGAATGTTCTCTCATTAGTTTACTAATGGGAAGAATTCATAAACCCTTTTAATACATTGGGAATTTAATCTAAAATGTCTTTGAAATAATATAAAGCAACCATAGCATTTTTTGGGACTATATAAACCATAATTTATCTTATAAACATAGTTATTCAGCTAGCACTACAAAATAAATAAAATTTTTTCTATCTCCATCTGAAAAAGAGGCTTTTGTGGAAGTAATATTTTCAAATTAGTGGGTGCTGCATGATGAATTAAAAATTCATTTATTTGGGTTATAAATGTATCTGTATCTACGATATACTCGTCTACTGATCCTATATTAATGTTTTAACGATGAGCTTGCCTTGCTACAAGTCGTTGGATACAAATATTAAACACGTATAACTCTGCTTTTGACTCAACAATAAAATATAAAATATGAAATTCTTAATCAAAATTATAGCTAATTCCTTGAGTTCTGATAAAATGCTCTCAGCTTTCTCATCACTATAATCAAGTCAATGTCATGTTTTTGAAAAGTAATACTTAAAATAGTTGTATAATTAAATAATACATTTATAACGAGAAATAAAATTTGGAATAAGCATTGAATCTAATAATTTTCTTGCTCCTGAGGAAATATATCTTTCAGGCCATTGTGATATTTCAGTAATAGCAAATAATCGGCTCTTCTAACTCCTTAAAAGCTGTTACTGCATGGCAGAGACTCTCTCTCCTTGGACTAGGTTGCAATTTCTTTCTCCCTGTTGGATAAGAAGTTTCAGAAATAATTATTATCTGACTAGAAATTGAAAATGGTAGATATATATTACGCCATTAAAAATTTGAAAATAATAAGTAAATATTATGCCGAAAAACTTGAAATCGAAATTAATTGATAAAATAACTTATGAATGTGATAATAAATGTAATTAAATATATATTTAATATGAGAAACGAATAAATATTAATAAATATAAATTAATATAAACAATAATATTTTGAAAAATATATCCGGCATCTGCATTTTTTGGCGTGGGGGGCTGCGCACGCGCCTGACGGTGGGTCTGGATATAATTGTGCTCCTCCTTTGTTTTATCCACTGGGCTAATGTTACTGCATTATTCTAAAAATAAATTAAATAATTTATTATTGATTCTCTATTTTTCTTTAAGATAAAGTTTTTAAAATTTTATTCTAATGTGTAGTGTTGTTAAATGGCTCATTTTGAGCCAATTTTTAAAAATGGCTAACTCAATATTTTAGCCTAAAAATTTGCCTAAGCTTTGAGATTTTGTTTATATATGAAGACCTTTGTTCCTTCTATGAACAAAATCTTCAGGGTTACGTAGTACTTTACTGAACAAAATAATGAGTTAACAGTTTTTAAAAATCTGCTCAAAACGAACTGTTTAACAACATTACTAATGTGTTACATCAAAATCATTCACCATCCAATCATGACACCTGTAAATAAATTAAATAAATCAGCTGCTATCACATTTTATCCTAAACACATATTGTTGTTTAATAGCTTTCAAAATTTGCATAATGATAATTGACAATACTAGTGGTATACTAATATTAATTCTATATATAAATATTTTTTTATTAGACCTCGGCATAGGCTTAAAAGAAGAAGAATGTTCTGAATGGTCACTTAATACCCCTATCCATATTGCTGTTAATGATAATGATATCTTAAAGCTAGATAATCTTTTAAAAGATGAAAGATACAAGCATTTAATCAATTGTCAAAACAGATTTGGCTGTACACCAGTAATGTTGGCTGTCAAAGGTAATAATTATTTAAATCATAATCTACTTTATTCAACTTAGATAATTTATTTAAAATTTGTGAGAAACTTTTAAATCATGGGGCAAATTCAGATATAGCTGATATAAAGGGTCAAACTTGTCTAATGGTTGCCACTTATAACAATCAAGCACAGTTTGTTGAATTGTTATTAAGTTATCATTGTAATCCTGAAGGCAGTATCAACAACTTATCGTCTCCTATATATATTTCATCAATGATGGGTATGACTGCTATAACTTGTGTATGTTATTAATATTTTCAAATTTTTATAAAAATAGTATATAAATAATTTAAAAAACCTATACAAACTAAATAAATATTCAAACCTTTGTAGATATATAATATTTTAATAATTATATTAGATAAGAGTAAAATTGAAATGCATTCTGTTATATTGAAATGACATTACTTTGATTGAATAATTTTTTAAAATTATATCATTAATTTTTTGTTTTATTAGATTTTATTGAAATATGGAGCAAATCCTAACCTATGTAGAGTCAATTTGGGGCTAATAAGTACTCCATTAGGAATTGCAATATCTAAGTGCCATGTTGAAATTGTTAAAGTACAATATGACTTTTATATGATACTTATTTAATATTTATTTAAGCTCCAGGGACCTGGAGCAAAGAAACCAAAATGAACAGAAAAAAACCTTCTACTAAAATTGTAAAAAGTGTAAATCTGTTATATATTCCTTGAACCATTTTAAAATGGCTTAATCAGTTTACCCTAATGACATATATATGTCATTGGTTTACCCATTTTAAAAAATTTAACCTTAATTTTTTTTGGCTGGGTTAATTATCTTGATTAACTATTTTTATATTTTTTCTGCCAATCTAATTTAATCAGCTTTTCTTAACTTAAAATTAATTATTTTTATTATTAAATGTTAAATTCCATTGACTCTTTGATAATATATTACAAATAAAATTAATCAAATAAACTATTACAATTAGAATATTAAGATCTCTTTATTAAAATTTTTTTAAATATTAGAAATATAAAAATAAAAGCTTTATTTTACCTTCCATTATGAGTCTAATCTGCTCTTACGGATGTTTCAGATCTTATATTAAAGACTCATTTCTTGAAAGTTGGCCAGAATATTTTCCAACAATATCTGCCACACTGATTATGAATCAGCCAATTTTTGACAAAAACTTAATACTAATATTATTAGATTTGATTTGGATGCAGCACCTTTTATTAGATATTTTTTAATCTCTCTGAAATTTGAGTGTATATCTCTAAATTTTAGACTAATAATTTTAATAAAATTATGTATAATATTTTTAGATCTTTCATTAGGAAAGCTATTATACTACGCCATTTTATATAACGAAATTTAAATTCTATACTATTTTTTTTATTAGGCTCAAAATATTTTGCATATTTTAAAATAAAATTACTAATTATTTCCCAACAAAATTTTGTTGCCTTGTCTTAAAATTCTCTGCCATATCTATTTTTATTGGTGGCATTTTATATTTTAAATTTCTTGAAAGTGAAATTTATAATACAGCTTAATAAAATATAAAGATTATAATTTTAAAATTATAAATAAATTTAATAAATTTAAAAAAAAATTGAACTATTGGTATCATTATTTTAAAAGTAGCATGCTATTTTAATAACTGGCTGCCTTATAAGATAACCTTCCTTTAGATTTCACATGATCTCTATTGTATATCTTATGCCTTATAAAGTTTTTGTAAATTTAAATATTTAGCTTATATTTTATAACTTTGTTGATCACAGATTTTGCTTAACCATAGAGCAGATCTAACATTTGTAGCTCCCTCCCATTTAATCAAAAAATCCGTCATCCTGAAGCCTATAAATTCAGAGGAACTCCTTAATACTTCCCGATTAACAACAAATTCAAGTAACACACAATCGTCGGCCTCAAAGCCCATTATCTCCAGGCAAAATTATTGTTATTTAGCCTTATCTATGTACCAAAATTATCCCTGTCTTAACTTAAATGAAAGTGCCATTTATGGTGACTCCGATGGATCTATTGGCGTTCACATCAAAAGGAGAGACATATTGGAGATACTGCTAGCTTGTGGAACTAAACCCTACCTTATTTACAATAAGGACTGTATCGAAAATGCTAAGGTAATGTATCATATGGTAAAAAGTTTATAATAATTTAAGAAAGTTTTCTGACTCTATTTCAAGCTCGTTATTTTCATATTGGCAATTTTTTTCTTATCTGGAATGAATAACCAACAATTATATAATTTTTTAAAATATTCTGTCATTTATTTTTGGAAAATCGTAGAGTCAACTAATTAAACATTAGAAATTTGTGGTGGTAAATAGCTCCATATTTAAGTAAAAAGATTTATCATAGGTTTTTTTAGAAAATATCGGAGGAGCGGGTTTCATAAAATATCGGATCGCGATTCGATCCTTTCGAAAACGCTAAATATCGGTCCCTACTCAGAATATAATAAAATCAGCATAAATTAGTAGAATAATATTAAATTTTATAGCCCTTAAAATTTTACATTGGATTTTTTTTCTTATTTTTCGATAAAAATTAAAATTGTTGGGAAGAAATTTTTCGGGGTTGATATTCTCTAGGAATGCTTATTATTTATACCTTTATATTCAACGTTTAATCGAAGATTGCGTTGTTTCTTTTTTAATTTCAATAAAATTTTTATTATTTTTATAAAGAGTTGGCTTTTTATTTAAAAATCATTATAATATATTTTAAAAATATGTATTATATTGGTATTAAAATTTAAAAAATCCATTGAGTATAACAAATCTGATGTCTCGGGGGTATGTAAGCTAGCACCCCATAGATGGTAATAACGGGGAAAAATTTTTATCACCATTTAAAATACACATTTACCTATATCATATCAGAAATATTTTATAGTATCAAAAACAATTTTTTTTTAGAAGTTCTTTATTTGTAATAAAAATTAAGATCTAAATATAAATTACTAACCTTGTTGTCACAAAATCTAAGTTTCTTAATTTTCTATGTCCAATTATGATTATTAACAGTAATTAATTAGATTCTTTATTAGGTATTGAAAATTAGGATGTTCTAGGTTCCTTAACTAATTAAGATAATTAACAATTATGAAATCAAAAGTATTTGTAAATGTAATATTAAAAATTGATGTATATAAAAATTTTATATTTATCACTCAAATAGAATGCTATATTAAAATTATTAGAGCTCTCACTCTAACACTTGAGCTGCGGTTGAGTTAAATTTGAAAGAAGGTTATTTTAATAAATTTCTGATCTCCGAATACATATGAAGGTAATATTTCTGTTGTAGATAAAAAATTTGGATTGAGTATATTGATGATTTTTTTGATCATTCCTTCATAAAATTGGCTCTTTGTAAAGATGTTGAGACCTGAGATAGACCCAGGAGCCAACTTCAATTATGAATCTAGAAAAGAATTAAAACCTATAAAATATATAACAATCTTGCTCAGTCCTATGCTACAGCTTGAATGACAATGGAGTTGTATTTTTTATAAATAAAACATACAGCCATATTTTAGGTTGTTTTATCTTCACATGCTTTCCATCAACAGCACCGTATATATTAGGAAAACCTGATTTCCTTTAGTATTCTGCTGATATTTCTTTCATCTGTTCAAATGTTGTTAAACAGAGATGCTTGGGTTTAAGACTCATCAATAATAATCTACATACTGATGTTTAGCCGACCTTTGTAAAGCTATTTTCAAAAAATTATCCCTGTTGTTAAATATCTAAAAATATATTTAGAATATCTATAAAACAAAATATTATTTATACAGAATGGTTATATAAAACCAATTCTTCATACTGATAAAATTTTTATAGGTGACTATTATTGGGGTAATTTTCTTTCATATTTGTAAGAACATTTTAAAATGTTTCCATATGCATTGAAACGTCTGACAAAATTATTCGGGATAAGAAGTAATAGCTTCAAATATTTGTCCTTGTTCTCCAGAACTAATATATATAAGATATAGGCACACAATTAAAAGGCCTATAATCTATATAGGTAATAAGGTTGAGTGTGGAAGTGATGGGCGAATTTAAAAGAGGAAGGCCAAAACTTCAATGGGACCATAAAGTTAGAGCCTAATGAAGAAATATAAATAAGATGAAAGAGATAGCATGAATAACATAAAGGGGAGAGAGATATTGAAGGAGCTTACCACCAGAAAAGGTGAAAGATAAAAAGAAGAAAAAAATTATCGTATACACCCGCCTTCCTATCTATGCCTTTTTCTATGTCAAGTTGTATCATCAAATAATATAAAATATAGTCATAAATTCTTTGATCAAATATTTTGAACATTTTAAATGGAGAATTTAAGAATACTTTTGAAAATTTGATGAAAGATTCGGGACACGTTTCGTTATCTTTCAAAACTCACGAAAGATGCGATTTTTAAAACTTTTGACAATTTTTTTTAATCTTATTTACCTTACAGCCTTAAAATTAAAAAATACATAAAATCATGATTTTTGCCAACTTTATTTACGAATAAAAGACCTTATTATAGGCAAACGAAGAAGCGTGTCTTTTGATGTAAGATAAAAAAGGCTAATAACTTATAAACTCGTAATTTTATCAGATAATTGACCCGAGAGTGGTATAATTTAAAAAATTTGGTCAGGCCAATTTTTAAAAGAGTTAATTTAAATTATATCAATTTATCAGTTTTATAATGTTGGGAAATCATATAATGGGAGTTCAATACTCATTTATTGCTCATATTTTCAATTTATTTTGCAAAATTCAGCCAAAATTATTTAAAATAACTTAATTTTTAAAATTCCAACAGTCCAAAAATTGTTGGAAAAAAAATCCTGACCAGACCAAAAAAATAAATACTGGCAGGGCTTGGATGTTTTTCTTGAATCCGGGCTGAACCTAAAATTTTGAACTCTGATTTTTATTATTATATAGGAAGAGACACCATTAGTTTCGTCTACGATAATGAACCACCAAAAGCTTCACATGGCTTCCTTTTGGGGCGGCTTTGTTTCCAAAATCAAGTCCCAATCATCTTCTAGAAAAACTGATTCCAAACAAGAAAAGTATCTGTACTGTAATATGGAAGATAGCCAGAATGGTAAAGTTAATAAAGTCGGGGATATGACTGACGTGGAAGAAATTCACTATGCGGATAATCTAGCTCACTTACTTAATATAACAAGTTTGAAATTATCTCATATTGATACTGATTTAGATAAATAAATTCTCAGTTTAAGTATGATTATACATCATCTAACAGAGCAAAGATTGACCAAACTGTCCCCTTCCTTAAAATTTTTTTATAAAAAAGGGTTAACTTCACTAATTCTAAGCCCAAAATTTGTGAAGATCCGACACAGCTCATAGAAATATTCGGCATAAGGCTGCATTCATAGTGGGGACTGATCTAACCCGATACAGCTCATTAATTTTGGAATCTATTTATGACATCAATTTTTCTTTATTTTTAAATTAATATTATGAATAGAATTATGGGTAAAGTATATATTAATGAATATAATTTGATCTCATAAAAATATTTTAAAAATCGATCATCTGAATTGTGTTTAATCTGATCCTACCGCGAATGCCGCCCGAGCTACCCAAAGATTTTTTGGGTCTTTGTTTAATCCTTTTTTAGGAGTGTAAAAAAACTGAAATTTTATATTTTTATGAGCATTTCAAAACTCCGTCAATTTTTTAAACATTTAAATATAAATATTATATAAACCCGAGCTCTCTGCATATGCAAAACCCTACCTACACAGTTACTCGCCATTCCAAAAAATTTTTTGAACTGAGCTCGATACAAAACCCTAATGAGTAATTTCATATCAAATGAACAAAAAATGAGGAAATTCAGCCTACCCTTTTCTATTTTAATGAAAATTCGCACTATGATTACTAGGGTTGTAACGATAACACTTTTTGGAGGCCTATCTAATCCGATATATCTAATTTTGTATTCTGTAAACATACTAATCGTTTTAATTTCTAATGCATACAACTAGTTTGAGCCAATTTTTAAAAACAGCTAACTCAGTTTTATCCAGAAAAATATTACGCAAGTCGGAAGATTTTGCTCATAATCTCGAGGCTTGGGGAAAATTTTTCTGGCTAATGAGTTAGCCATTTAAAAATCGACTCAAATGGAGCGATGTATAAATAATTTAAATATAATATATATTTGTGCATAAATAACAACTGACTGACAATAAAAGTTTGGGTTAATTTTAAACTCTGTCTTGTTGTATCGATTTAAATTTCGCATAAGTCGTATTTTAACATATAAAAATGCCTCTCTGAAGTTAGAGGGAAAAGTTTACGTAATGAAAGTGACTCAAGCTGAATTGGAAAGAACGGGAATGAGGATAATTAGATGGATAAGGGAGAAAAACGAGCAAGGATGAGAATAGAAGGGATTGGGGTGGTAATGAGAAAAAACCTAAGATACTTTTGGCACGTGGAACGTAAGTCAAAAGATGACTGGGTGGAGGAGAGCGCCTTGTTGGAAATAGGGAGATCAAGACCTCGACTGAACCGAACTTAAACCTTAAAAATTTTATCTTCCTGGAACCCTAACTTATATCCAGGTTTGATTGACACTGGTAAAATATGAACGATTTTGAGATGTATGTGATTTGATGTAGAATGACCCTAATACCAACTCAAAACTTTAATCATACATTACAAATATTCTTAAAAATAATTAGATTTACCCTTACCTCTAACCTGGCTAACAAGAATCGTAATCAGAAACTGTTGCCTAAAAAATGGAAAATCATTGGAAGAGAGCATAATATTCGATAAAGACATATTGCTATTACCTCAATATATTCAAGATTTTATATTGTTAAAACGATTGTGGAAATAAACAAAACGTCCTTTTTTAATAATAAAGAAATTTTTAAAAGGCGCCTATGAAAAATATTTACGGGCCCGGTTGGAAATCCTTGTGACGCTAATCTATGATATAATATACTTCTTTAATTTTTATTATAAATTATTTGTATATATAATCGTCAATAAATGTTAATCAATAGTATTCTTTATATCACTATTCATCCAATGGTATTAAATCTCCATCATGACTATAATCCACTAGGTTTCTTTTATTTATAAGAGTAGATATGTCCAATATAGGTATCAAGCGATAGTTATCAAAAGATCTATTCAACTTTAGGTTCAACTTTTCATCCTTAATGGGCGAGTTAAAGTCTTGGGAAAGGGGAGAGGGAATGTGAGAAATATATTTACCAACGCAAATAGCGATAAGGGTACAACTTAATGAATAAGCTGGACTTGATCTGGGAGAGGGAGTGGAGTTAAATAATAAAATTTTGAGTTAATCAAATTAAAATAAATTTTGATTGTTTTGTGTTTAAAAAATATATCAATCTAGTTTTCTTTTTTTAAAATTTTGTATAAAATTAATTGTTTATATAATAATTTTATTTTTTTTTTACCTTTTAGATTTAAATTAATTGCTTTTATTAAATAAGATATATGTGGTGAATGAAAATCAATATGAGTTTTCTACCTGACCCCATCAGATTCTAAATTTTAACTAGATGCTACATATGTTGTAACTAGAAGATTATTTAATTGTTATTATTTTGTTAATATATTTTTATTAAATGCAAAATTATTTAATGACTTATGAATATTAGTTATGCACAGACAGTGTACTTTGTTGGATAAATAATTTTGTCATGTAAATAAGATGAAAAGAGATTTTATACATTTAACTCTAACAATTGTTTAGTGATTCACTTTTTTTAAAATATATTACTTATAAATTATTTATTTATTTTTTTATGTTTTAATGAAAATTGGGAAAAAATTGAGGAAAGATTGATTAAGAAAATTGAGTAAATAGGGGAAAATTATAAAATATAGGAAATATTAACCTGGGTCAAACACCACCATTTTTTCTTATCAATTGTGAGTTTAGTTTTTTAGTATAAGTATTTTAATATCTCCTATAAACTGACAATGTATTTGAAACGATTAATTTATAGAATAAGATTTTCAAACATACTAAAACAATCCCCAATTAAAATTAAGGATATAAATTATTATTTACAAATTTATATTCTATTAGTTCACTTCAAATTAAGTGAAAATATAAAAATACAATTTCAAATAAAATAATAAAACGTAAGAGAATTAAAATTGAACAGGGCATAAACATGGTATTCATGAGGTCTTTAGAAGGTTAATAATTAAGAAACATATCAAAAAGATATTAAGTATATCATGAACATAAAAATTATTACTTTAACAATTATAATATTGCGACTCCTAGCGCTTGGAATTGAATCTAAAATGCTCAAATCAATAAATAGGATTAACTCATATTAATATATGAAACATTCAGTACTAGTTATTTAATTTGCCAGAATATATTAATTATAAATAGATTTAAAGCATATAAACCATGGGGTGACTCTGCAAGTCAAAAATAACAACCATTTCTTTTAATTTCTTTTCGGAGTTAATATTCTGGAATTATGATTTTGAGAATTTTTATTTAAATATAATATTTTTTTATAAAAATACCATTACTTCCTCTACACAATAAATACCATAAAAAGAATCTTAACAAACCATGAATCATTTACGAAAAGTCTTTGATACAGCTTTGTTTAAAATTTTTTGTAAAAAATGTCAAGCTTAAACAAAAATTAAATATAGTAAATGAGTCTATTAAAATTTCCCTATTTCAGAATTTTTTAAAATATTTTCCTGATAATGTTGACATAAGAAATTCAAACTTTAAATAGTATTATTAAAAATATTTTTAAATTCTGCCATCTAAAACCCATGTTTTAATAATTACTCACAATCTACTACACCAAATATTTTGTGGAGCCACATTGTAAACTTCATTTTTAATCCTGTGTAAAAATTATCACAAAAACATTTTAAAATTTTTTTTGATCGATAACCGGCTCATAACCACCCATGACTAAAAATTTTGCTGACATTATCCAATGATATATCTTTACCTTTATTTCTATGCATATATTTACCTGTTAAACATAATTAGATTATGCGTCAAATCACTTTTTAAAATATTTTTTGGGATAATGTTTTACACTTAATTACAACGATAGAAAACTAAAATGAATATTTTTTAATGGATAAAACCAGCAATGAAATATTTGGTCTTCGGCCTATTTTGAGTCAATCGGTCAAATCATAATATCCTAAAAATATTTTGTGATAATATTTTACAAGTAAATAATGTAATAAAACAAAGAGAAGATATTTCGATCAATAACACTTGGTGTATCTTACAAGTTTGCACTATTTAATCCTAAACTTACTTAGAAATTAAAAGTAAAAAACATGTTTTAAAAAGTTTTTCACACGTATCTACACCCAAATATTAAAAGGGCTTACCATTAATCATTTGAGTTTTGTAATATTTATTTATAAAATTAACGTACGCTTTTTGAGATATATTTATTAAATTTTAAATTGATAATTTGAGTTATAATAAGCTAGTAAATATATATTTTTTCCTTTAATATTAATTAAAAAGAGTTTTATATAATAGTAGATGATTAATCTTTAGTTCTTATTTGATAAAAATTGATTATGAAATATAAAAACATGTTTCTGAAAATTTGACTTAAAAAAATATTTATTTAATAAAATTTATGATTAATTATTTTTTATTATTGCTGCCAAATAATTTTATATAAGTCTGGATATTTTTCTCATAGACTGCAGAAAGGTTTGGACATCTATATGCCAAATGACGAGCTTACATAATATTTTTTGGTTAATATCTTAAACAATACCAAAATCACTTAAAAATACTGATACTAATAATGGAAGAGGATTTTCTTTAAAGTTTTATAAATACGTATAGATTAAATAATTAATGGAAACTGATCCAATTATTTGCCTTCCTTGTAAGATTACTTAAATAATTGTGAATCAAATCTATACCAAAAGGGGTTTTACTAACTGGAAGAAAGTTCTTGTATACAGGGGACTTGAGTATCATTATAATTGCAGAATACAGAGTAGGAAAGAATCATAAGATTATTAGATTTACCAATTTTTTTATATAAACTAATTGGCAAATTTAAATAAATTTTAATTTTCTAGACATAATAAAACCTTTATTTGCAATTAATATTACTGAAGAGGGATTAGTAATTAAAATCGAGATTGTTAAAAGTTTAGAAAATTAAAAAGAATGTTTTACATAAAATTTTGTCAAATCTCTATACCCATACCAAAATGCATTTCCAAATGGTTTTCAAATATTCTGTATAAGTTTAGATTAACACATCGGTTGTAAGTCAACTTTTTTACCGTTATACAGATTTATTTAATCAGATAAACGTTCGAGTAATGATACAAGAAAAAATAATTAGTTTTATCGGACATGAAAAAATAATAACCGATTAATTAATGTTTTAAAGGTATTTAAAAATATTTCAATTAAAATATTTTGTATGTTAGTTTTACACTGCTCAATTATTGAACATAATGCTAATTGTTGAGATGTCCTGATTAATATTTTTAATATTTATTTTTAGCTATGTATTAACTCAATATTAACCTTAAAGATTGATTTTTTTTATTCTTTAATATTAACCTCACGAGCTCATTTTATAATATTAACTCAATAGTTTGACATAAATTATTTAATAGATTTTTTTATATAAATTGATTTAATAAACTATATAAAGAGCAAAAATATATTGTATTTTTAGTTAAATATTTTTTAAATAAATTTTTTAAATTACTCTTTTAATCTTGTCTAATTCCCTGCCAACCACACAAGCAAGCTGTTGAATTTTGTCTAAACTGTCTACACGTAAAGGTTAAAATATAAAGACAAAAAAAAGCGAAAAAAAACAACAAAAAAAAATGTATCAAACATATAAAACTCACCAAAATAAAGTGACTTGGTTTAAATGCTGTTTAGCCTTAATCAACATTAATTACCAAACATACTAGACAGGGCAAAGGCTATATTTTAGTTTCACATTCTTCAAAGTTACTTAACTCTTAGTTCCTTTCTTTTTAGTGTTACCTATTATTTATAATAAATGATTGTATCATAATTTGACATTTTATTTATTCACTGTCACCTAACTCATCTCAGTCTGAAAGTTAAAGAGGAATCATCTGTTTTAAATGATCTAAATATAGATTCCATCCCACTATTTATCCGGTATAAACATATTAAACAATTTTTCATTTTTAGAAATCCTCCTCATTCTGTCTAATTAGGATTATTTTCAATGAAAACAAAATGCACATGATAACCTGTTTTATAAATTTTATTAATGATAAAATAATCAATCCCTTAAACTATATTGGAATAATGATTTATAATTGATTGCTAAACCCAAGATCAAGCCATATAACGATAAAGATTTTATATAATTATAAAAAAATACATACAAATGTAAGATTGTTGAAATTAATTAATTCTTCTTCTCTTGGACTAAATTGACATTTATTCCTTTAATATGCAAATTTAAAAAATATATATTTTGAAAATTTAAGTATAAGTTGTGAATTAATAAAATTTTTATTTACTATTTATTTATTTAATGAAATTAAAATTAAATTGATTATATTTTAGGGGTGATTTTAAATTTTGCATAAATCTACCGAATATTATGAAAAAAATGTTGAAAATTGAATGCATGAATATTACACGAAAATTATTTGTTTTTTATATACCATTATGCATTATACTATAAGAAGGTTTCGATACTAAAATAAATAATATAAGAATAAATGATGATTTATAACTCGTCATATATTTATTATACGATGGGTTCTAATTGAAAAAAAGTCTGAGACTGTAATAATATTTTCAAATTGATTAGGGATAAAAAGATCTTAAATAATATTGTATACCAGGCACACGAATATTTTTGTTTTCTAAAATATAAAAATGAATGAATTTTAAATAT